CTGAAAAAATGATCATGATGACCCGGCTGAAAGTTTCGATAATAAAGAAAACCAAACTAAACTAGAGAGTAAGTCACTTTTGCTCAGTTATATGGAGAAATTTTTAAAAGCGTTGGTCACTCAGCGCATAACCCTAATAAAAATGTTATGGTTAATTTGCTTAACGACGTGTTCTGGGTATCATCCAAACCATTTGTGGAATAGTTCAATCATTTGGGTTATCGTTCGTTTATGGTAATTTTTTATTAGGGAAGTAACCTACACGTAACGAAAATTAATTATTTTATTCATGTGTTTCACTTATACATTTTTGTCAAAACATCAACTTTATTACCTTCCATAAGATAAACCACATATGTAGGTCCTATAGGAATGCATAAACGATATGTGTGACCATTTATACATTTCATTTGACACATGATCTTCATTAATTTTTTGCAAGGCATCTGCTTATTAGTTGACGTATGCATTTTATGAATAATCCTCAATATAAATTTGCCAATTAGTATATGGGGATTTCTATCCGTGTACACACCTATTTTTATTCGCTGGAAACCAGAAAAAAATTACCGGCAATTGCAACCCATCCAGTAAAATATGTTTGCTGAACGGCCATCAAATTGATCCAGTGCTAATTTGACAGTATCTACCTGAAAACCAGTTGATTTTCCAGTAAAATAGAGTGACAAACACTTTGTGGGAAGAACAGTAATTTCCGTTTGTTTTATTTTAAAGAAAATTGAAATCTCATTTTTGATCATAATACACTGTTTAATATATAGAGTTCTCCAGATGCACAAAAGTGTGTGTGAGACCGCGCGCTACCTTTTTAAGTATTAGTTATATCGCGATACCTGTTTGGTTCCAAGGTTGCAAAGACTCATTTCAGCTAAAACAATGTTTTTCTAAATTATGAAATAATTAGATGCCATGATCAAATTTTGAATTGGTAGGATACAAGAAGAGGTTGCAAAGAATGTGTTTGACATATTAAACCTGTTTATTTCACTTCATGAGAGTCACAATCAGCGATTTTTCACAAACTCACTCACTCACTCACTCACTCACTCAGCGATCAGCAAATCGCTGATTGTGACTCATAGAAAGCAAAATTTACAGGTTTTATGTTTCCAACGCATACTTTGTAACCTCTTCTTGTAACATGCCATCATACCATCTTTTGGTTTTATTATTCCGAAAAACATTATTTTAGCTGAAATGAGTCTTTGCAACCTTGTTTGGTTCTTCTTCTTTTTGATTATTATATATGGATGTTGGATTTTAGCGTTCGTGAGATTGCGCTTGGAGATCTCTATAACAAGCTCAGTTGTTCAATAAGTGCCCAGTTTGTTCCAAACGTTCGCAGGTTTACTGCGCGTTTAATCGCGTCGTCAGTTGTGTCGGTCGCATCGTGTGATGGGGAAAACAGTGCTCCTGGAGCAGACTCAGAGACAAAGAGGAGAACAGTTGTGAGGGTAGCTCGGTACCGAGATGGGAAATGACAGGTGGGCAGGAACTCACAGTCTCTCAGTGTTGGTGAGTTCTTTGCCGTTAATGTTCACGAAAAGTTCACTATTTTGCTATACAGAAATTCAAAACAAAAATTTTATCTGCGAATTTGGACAGTTTTTGACCTGTTTCATACTACCGGAAGGTGTATGCTGGTCACAAATGCCGTGCCAAACTGATTTCCTACTCAATTAATCAATCTTTGATGTGAAATTCGCTAATAAACACGAGGAGCATTTCTTATAGCAAACATGCCATAACAAAATGGGCATGGTTCATTTAAGTAAACAAACTAACACTTCTTCCGACTGTGGCACCTCTCTTACTCGCCTGGGCTCGGTACCTATTTCGAATAGGTACGCTACTCTTCCCACCGATGTTGGTAATGTCCCAAAAGCAGTCACGAGCTGAAGATGACGAAGAAAAGGAAGAAGGAAACCAGGGTCAGTCCGATGGTACCAGTGGACGTGACAACGCCAGCGACATCGGTGATTTCGATGATGCCGTCGATCACGAGAATTCTGCCGGCCCGAGTGCGGCAAAAGTGAAGCTTCCTCCACTGGTGGTGAAGAAAGCAAAGTGCCACCGAAAACGCTGATTGGCGATTTCGCATCGCTGGGTGTCGCAGCCGAATAAATAAATTCAGCAGGATCGGCACCAAGGTGATGCTCCGTACAAAAGCGAAGTATTAAATGGCCGTCAATTACCTGAAGGATTACAAGGCGGAATACTTCACGCATTACATCCCTGGTGAAAAGTTCTTCAAGGTGGTAGCCAGAGGCCTACCAAACTTTGACCCCAAGGTGATCGAAGACGAAATCAAGGACCAGTACAAGCTGGCCCCAATCGCTGTTTTCCAGATGACGAGGAGAGACCTACCCGGATTGTCTTTTCCTGGTTCACTTCCACAAGGGGACGGTGACGCTCAATGCACTGCAAGCCATCCGCTCGATTTATTCCGTCATTGTACGCTGGGAGCCATACCGTGGTGGCCATCGTGACGTAACGCAGTGCCAAAGATGCCTCAACTTTGGACACGGTACCCGCAACTGTAACATGAAGCCACGCTGCAGCAACTGCGCTCATGAACACGCTACTTCCAACTGCCCTGCGGAAGGAGCCAGGAAGGAGAAAGAAAAAGGCTCCAGCTTTCAGAACGGAGGATTTCCCGCCTCTTCGTGATCCTCATCAAAGACACATGAATTCGCGGGTGCAACCCGCCTCCCCTCAAGAAGCTTCCGGTGATTTTGCTGGACAAAGTTCCCCACACCCAGTTACTTATTCGCTTGAGAAATGTGCGTAGACGCCAGTTTCAGAGGACTGGAGATCTGAACAAAAAACGTAGATGGCCGATTTGAATAGACAGATTACTTCCAGAATGAACTCACTCCCAAATGAAAGTTTCAGGCGTGTTGTCCAGACAGATGACGACCAATCCAGACCATTCTGAAAGGTAGCCAAGGTCTTGAAAACTCATCCCAAGCCCGTTCCACCTCTCAGAGACGAATATGATGACGATCGGCTCTTAATTACCCCACAGAAGAAAGCACATGCGATCGGCGAGCATGTCGCTTCATCGCATTTGCTTGGCTCGACTATCCAAGGTCCGCTCGAAGATCCGGTTGTGCAATGCGTACAAAACCTAGATGCCTCCCCTTGTGTCGTGCCTCCGGTGGATAAGATTACAGTATAACAGATTTGCTCAGCGCTTAAATGCAGCAAAAACATGAAGGCTCCCGGGTTTGATGGCATATTCAACTTAATCTTGAAGAGGCTCAGCATGAAAGTGCAGTCTCTTTTGACCACTATCTTCAATAGATGCTTGGAGCTACTACTTTCCAAAATCATACCAATCCACAAACCCGGTAAGAACCCAACGTTGTTTTCAAGCTACACAACATTTTTCTTCCGGAACAGTTCGCGTTCAGGAAGGGGCACTCCACCAATCACCAGCTAGTACGGGTGATGAATAACATCCGAAGTAACAAAGCTGTATCCAAGTCCACAGCCATGACATTGTTAGACGTTGAGAAAGCGTTTGACAATGACTGGCACGATGGGCTTGTATATAAGCTTTGTAACTTTAACTTTCCTGTACATCTTGTTAACACCACCCTGGAGGTTGTCTTTCAGACACGTTTTCAATCACAGCAGGTGTTCCGCAAGGCAGTCTGCTGGGCCCTTTGCTATACAGAATCTACACTTCCGACATTCCTCTCCTCGGAGACGGTTGCGTGTTTTTCCTGTTCGCAGATGAAACCGCAATAGCCGTCAAAGGAAGGATGCCTCGCGAAATAACGAACAAACTTCAACGATGGCTTAACGTCTTTGCTGATTACCTGGAAAATTAAAATCAATGCCTGCAAAAGTCAAGCAATCACGTTCCTACACTGGCAATTGCCCAAGCTAATACCGGCTCCATCTTGTACTGTAATCATGGATGGCACAAGGGTTGAGTCAACAATCAATACGAAACTAACGATTTAATATTGGCTTACTACTTGACTAGCCTATTGGTCCCAAGCAAATCGATTAACGTACCCCATTCTAGTCGAAATTCTAGTACCACACTATGTTTGTTTTGATTCGCTATGAAAGTTTGACAGATAAAATGGCTCGTGGATTTTCATATGTTTCGAGGGGTACATCTATTAGCTTGGGACCGAAGATAGTACCAGAGCTGAGCCAAAAAGTTGAGCACGTTTCTTCGGGACTTTCTTGTTTTAGAATTACCTCTATGGTTGACAAGGGGTAGCTAGGTTTCGAGCTAGGGAGGGGCGAAAAAAAAAATAACTATGGAAAATTTGGCCGAATGCCATTTCACCGAACGCCATTTCCCCGAAAGCCTTTGTGTTGCTGAGTTTGAGGGGGGGGGGATGTTGTTCGATGAAAAGTTCTTTTTCCGTTCGCATGTAGAGAAAACTGTAGTCAAAGTGCTCTGCCTTGGTTAGGTTTCTGTATCCGTTGATTTGCCGCAGATCCCGCCTTTCGAAGGTGAAAATAATGGCTTTCTACAAACAAATCATAGCACCTGCGATACTCTACGCAGCTTTGGTGTGGGAATCATGTACAAAGACTCATAAGAACAACATCCAGGTCGCTCAGAATAGAGTGCTGAGAATGGTCCTTGATCGTCCCTTTGACACAAGAATTTCTGATCTTCACCTAGAGGCAAACATTCCAAAATTGATGATGACATTAAGGCTAGGTTTGTGCAGAAATGCAACACATCAGAACATGCTTTGATAATAGTTTTGTAGGGGAAATGACTCTAATGTTGGCCTATGGATCTAAGATTGGGCCCATCGCTAAAAATCTGCAATTTTATCTAGATGAACGCGTTATTGGGACGTTACGAATGGATATTTTTGGATGCTATTGAAAATTTAGTCGATTGCTGAGTTTATGTATGGGCCCAAATTAGGGACACTTAGGCCGACATTACATACATTTCCCCTATATGGTAGGTTAGGTGTATATAGTAGTTTTAGTTGTACATAGTATCCTGATGAATGTGGGCGTCTTAGTGGAATACCTGTATAATGAGAGAGAGAAGGATTAGTATTTTCCATTTAATTCCACTACTTTATTTGCTTATCCTTGACAGATACGCGTATTTCGTCTACAATGTGCAGACTTCTTCAGTGTCTTGTACTAATACTCGACTTACGAGTCGAGTATTAGTACAAGACACTGAAGAAGTCTGCACATTGTAGACGAAATACGCGTATCTGTCAAGGATAAGCAAATAAAGTAGTGGAATTAAATGGAAAATACTAATCCTTCTCTCTCTCATTGTACATAGTAGTTATAAGTAGTCTTCTTTTTCCAATTTAAAACAAACCAATCAAAAGGTGGTCATTCTCTAAAACAGGCCTGTAGGACTAGAAACTTTAAATAATAATTAAACATTTCAATTGAACTAAAGCTGAAATGATGCATCTGTGTCACTTACCACCAGAGTGGCCAGATTATTTTTTTTCACTATCGGTAGCTTCTCAAAACTTATCGGTAGTTATCGGTAGGTCGACTTAAGAAGGCTTTCCCGATACTTGAAAATTTTGTGAGCGGGGGGGGGGGATGACTCTGTGCTCCAGAACAATACACTGTCCTTCAGTTGTTCTGCTTTAAACGTGTTGAAATCAATTTTTCTATTCATAATCTAAAAATCTGTGATTCTCGGTAGAAAAAGTGAAAAATCGGTAGTTTTGAACCTTTCGTCTGTGAAACGGTAGGCACTCCGAAAATCGGTAGAATTACCGATAAATCGGTAGGTCTGGCCACCCTGCTTACCACCCAAATTAAAAAGATTAACATAATTTAAAGTCAAAAAAAGACAAAATACTATAGTGCTGAAATTGATTGCCGAAAAATGAATACAGTTTCAGGTGCAGTTCTAAAAACTATTGATGGATTACCGTTGAAATGGCGCCTTAATAGGCTGTACAGATCAAAATAGAAGCTTTTAAACTAAGTCAATTGACTAAGGTTTTTTAAACATACTGCATGATTTCTCCTATAATTATGATTTTCTCGTGATATCGATTTGGCCTGCACATACAAATCTGCAGAGGCAGACGACAAAACCAAGCTTGATATTGACATTACACTCATTTAACTTGAACAATCAGCTAAATAATTCTGATTACTAGTTTTATAACAAAAAAATGTTCTGATTGATACGGTTCAGCTATTCATTTTGTTGGAAGTTGAATTCAAAATTCGGTGAGTGCTTTTAAAAGTTTATCTATACGAATGAGTAAAAGCGACTCACTCTCTGAGGTAAGTTCGTTTTCAGTGTAGCATTCAACTGCCGGAAAGTCTTGCTTGTTGCCTACCAGCCGAGCAATTTATATGATTGATCAAAAATTCGAGCAGTTATCAGAAGCTCGAGTCGCGCGCTCTTCCTCACTACTGGTAAACAAAAATCAGCTGTTCGGCCTCGTAAAACAAAACTCAGTTTTCGCTGTTTTCGTAACCGATAACCGAAATGTTTATCTAATAAGTGAAATAAGTTAGTATTTATGTTTTGAAGTACAGGTAGTGCGTTTTCAATCAAGCATGAAAATATTAAAAACGTGTTGCGATGCGTGGCGCCTCGGAGGACAACGAAACTTCTTCGGACGCAGGAAGTATGTTTTCAATCAAAATTTGATCAATCTTTGTTAAACGTTGTCAGACTAACAGCAATGTTTCGTTCAGATATGATTTAGGAAAGTGTAACATAGTTGAACCCGGAAAGGTTACTCCGGAACGACCGATTCCCAAGCATATCGCCAAACCGGATTACTATTTTGTGCGGAATTCGCCCAGCTCGGGCGATGGACCTTCAGAAATCAAAACCGAAACCCAGATCCAGGGGATGCGTGATAGCTGCAAACTTGCTGCCAATATACTTAAGAAGACATGTGCTTTTGCTACGGTTTGTAGTTTTGAAATTTTCTTGATTTTAATGTTATAACACTACATTATTTTACAGGAAGGAGTGTCCACCGAGGACATCGACGAATTCGTTCACAATGAAGTGATCCAGGCGAATGCCTATCCGTCCCCTTTGCGGTACTTGGGGTTTCCCAAGTCGGTGTGCACCTCGGTCAATAACGTTGCCTGCCACGGAATTCCCGATGATCGGAAGCTAATGGATGGGGACATCATCAATGTTGATATAACGGTGTTCTTTAACGGCTTCCATGGCGATTGCTCGCGGACAGTGTTGGTAGGAAATGTGGATGAACGTGGTCGTTACCTGGTTCAGTCTACGGAGGAATGCCTCGCAGAATCGATTCTCTGCTGTGGTCCCGGGCAACCGTTGTACGTAATCGGGAAATCGATCGCTAGATTTGCCAAATGGAAGAAATTGAACATTATGCCGGCTTTCCTGGGGCACGGAATCGGGAGTTATTTTCATGGGCCTCCGGATATTTACCATTTCGGTATGAATGAATATCTAATATGTGGATATTTCAGAACGATAACGATCCAAATTTTGCAGATAACGACTATCCAGGATTGATGCGTCCAGGCATGACGTTCACCATCGAGCCGATCCTTACTCTGGGTGTAATGGAAGCGGAAATTCTGGAGGATGATTGGACTGCCGTGTCAGCGGACAATGCCAGAAGTGCGCAGTTTGAGCACACCATCCTAATCACGGACAATGGCAGTGAGGTGCTGACAGTTCCCGATTAATGTTGCTCTCGTTTGATAGTCGGGTTCGCTTGTAGCTAGATTCGTAAGACATAAATTGTGGATACGTTATCGATAGTTTAATATATCTATTTTTAATTGGCCTTTCACCATCATTTTTAGTTTCTTTCTCATTTATGGCGAGCTACGGGATGTAATTTATTAAGTTTGTTTTAGTTTCAACCTGGATCACGGATGAAATTGGCTCTGCTTGTTTTCTGACAAACGTCAGGTCAGTTTCAGAGTTGGCATGAAATGCTATACAGCCAACAGTTGACTTTCAGTTCAGACAGTTACTTTCGCTCGTTGAACTAAACCCATAGGCATTGGCGTAGCCAGGCATGGAAAATCATTTACATTCATTTCATGCAATCATTTACATTCATTTGCCTCTAACTTTTTCATCAACAGCAATCCGCAAAATGATGTTTAGAGCTTTAGTAGCTTTTGTTATTAGCTACAACTTTTGCCCGTAACTCAAATGTGTATCTCTTGTGCATCACGAATTAGAGCGGGCAGAACTTGTTACTGTTTTTCAGTGAATGTAAAATACATTCACTGAAAAACAGTAGTGGCTTCTGTTCGCTCTGGTTCGTCATACATAAGAGATACGGATTTAAGTTGTTGACAAAAGTTGTAGTTAATAATAAAACCTACAAAAGCTCCATACCTCATTTTGCGGAATTCTGTTGATGAAAAAAGTTAGGGGCAAATTAATGCACGAAATGAATGCAAATGATTTTCCATGCCTGGGCGTAGCTAATGGTGGTGCCTAGGGTACCTTGCCCCCACCAGAACGATCTGGGTGCCCTTCAGATTTTTTTTTGAAGATTTTTATAATTTATATTGTTGGTATTAGAATCTTTAAAAAAAAATCGATGTAGAGAATCGGTCTTAGCAGATAGGACCAATGTTCTTCTGATAGTGGATATCGTTATCTCAAAATGACCGAAAATCCATATTGAACTGATATGTGATTACTTCCTTATTGTGCAATTTATTGTAAAGATCTGTTACCTAGTCTGTTACAGTATATGACTTAAACCGAGTTTAGACGAGGCACGTGAGTTGAATTCAACTCACCCCGATTTGGTAGTCACCGTTCAATTAATCACTTCATTCGAGCACTTAAAATGACGTTTACTACCACTCAAACTTTGAAATAAAACATTATTTTGAGATTTTTTCTTCTAGGACCTCGAGATAAGTAGCCAACATTTGTGCGTTTCATAAAAAAATAGAAATTAGTTGGTCCAGTTTTGTAAAATCGCTGGTAGAAAGTCACGCTAAAACTGCTTGACAAAGTGGTCAATTTGACCACTTTGTCAAGCAGTTTTGGCGTGATTTTCTACCAGCGATTTCACAAAACTGGACCAACTAATTTCTATGTTTTTATGAAACGCACAAATGTTGGCTACTTAACTCGCGGTTCTAGAAGAAATAGTCTCGAAATAATGTTTTATAACAAAGTTCGAGTGATAGTAAACGTCATTTTAACTATGTAGCCGTCACTGGTCGATCTCGAATAAGTATGCGGCTTAAGCGCCACTCCGATAAAGGAGACCGCATACCATGTTGAGTTTGCCCGGATGAGACTGCCTCAAGGGCGAGTCCAAGTGTAATCTTCCTAAAAAGAAGAGATCGAGCCAGCTTCACTACCACCGAAATTGATCGGGTAGAAAACCTTATTGCTAAAACAGCATAATCTCTCACACCCCGAAATATTTCCCCGAAGCTCACGGTAAGAGATCACACAAACCTAAGCGACGTTACACGTCAAGCTTTCCTCATCGGTAGTTCCACTTATTTCCGCCAGAGGTGCAGCTTCAACAAAAGAGGTACGCCACATACAAGTCAAATTCCGACCACGCGGAAGACAACATAATTACCCGGACCCGAAACAACGTGAAGACACTTTCTTCCTTTCATTCAAAAGTTTTAATATGACTGATCAACAACATTACATTCAATTCAAATCAAACATTTATTTTATAACGGAAAACGGTAAGTTGAGGTTTATTGTAAACTCATGCTTTTCAGAACTTTGGATTGCTTGTATTTTCCTACTCCTCTTTCTTCTATTCCTCTACCTATACTTGTGTGCGTGCGGTTCTTCTATCTACCTATCATATTGTGCTGTGCTCTTGTGTTTTTCTTCTCGGTTAATCTCGACGACGACGATGCAGCAAGCGGGGAACGGCAAAGCTTGGCACCCGGGTGTCTCACATTAAAGGGTTGGGTGGGCATCCATATATTACGAAACGTGTGCACGTTGTCCTGCCGACACCCAACCTCACAAATATTGGACTTATCCAAATCTTAGCAATTCATGCTCTTCGACCTTATGGTCGGCAAAAAAGGTCCTCCGTGGCGCCCTCGCCGGACGCCACACTCAACAAAGAAACAATTGGAACGGACTCACCAGTTGATGATGCTGCTGTTGACTGCTGCGCTGCTGTTACGGGCGGCGACGGTGCTACTTAGCGTTCGACCGTTGGTGATTAAATGGCCAACGATTTCCACGTGGTTGGACGGATGGTAATTCTACCACAGGTTGCGCTTGACAACCACCAAACCCCGACAAGCGATGTGGATGCGGATCGCTTTCCACCGGCCAAGGTGACGGTTGCCGGAATCTTTCGCCCCGGGGATGCAGATGATGGCGTTGGAAGAGGATGTAGCCGTCGGCTGTTGAAAATACCATTAAGCACATTGCACAGATTTTCTTTACCGAGCAGCACATTACCTGGTCTAGCTTGTTTTTTGCACACACAAAGTCTAGCCTATGACGCACACTACTTTTAGATTGATAGCTATAACTAAACAGTCAACGAGGAGAAATTAGAATTCAAGAATAAAGTAAAACCACGTTGCTTTAACTCACTATACAAAACTATCAAATAACGCGAACAAAAAAGGACACACTTCCACTGTTATCTGCGGTTCGGACGAAAGTGAGGCGAAACCGTGACCCTCAGATTAGGGAAGGTGACCTCGGCCGAACTTAACGGAAGTTCGATTTTCCCGCGAACTTCTTCGAACTAGATCGGCAATGCGAGAGATCATTCCGATCGCTGGTCCTTCGTTCAATGTCGGGTGTAGCCACAACTCTCTCTTTTCCCAACTTTCCCGAAGATTTCACTGGACTCGGCCTTGGGAGAAATTGCACAAGGTCGTGTGGCTTTACTCACGAGATATTCTATTTTTATAGTAAATCGACCAGTGTCGTTTCGCTACTGGCGTAGTTTTTGGCGTATAGATTAGATCCATTTCATCCTACTTTAATTATAGCTAATTTGATATTTACAACAATGAGTGACTGGCTGTTTTAATATTTGCAACATGGAGTGACTGACTGATTTAATATTTACAACACGGAGTGACTGACTGATTTAATATTTACAACATGGAGTGACCGTTACATCACTCCCTACTGGATTACGAAAATTTAGTTGAATTGATTCAACTAAATTTTCGTACCGGATTTCTTAGATAAATGTTTTAAATTGAAAGCTAGCTCAACTATTGAAGTATTAACCGTTCGTGGTCATATGTGGTCATCGTCAATCCGAAGGTCGACTCATCCTCTATTTAGTCCTCACAATCCATCACAGACCGTGGCACGTACTGACCGTCAGCGTTTCTCAACTCAGGTCTCCATTATGCTAAAACTTCCATCTATGAATTTGGATATTTGGAATCTGGTCTAAATAACTTTACAACGGAAAACAGTTCTGATTGCTGACTTAATTCGGATTGTTTAGTGCTTCCCTTTATCCCCACAACATCATAATATGCTTTCCTCCGAGTTCGTTCCAAACTCAGTGAAAACATCCCCAAATCAAAAATTATCCTTAACACAAGCTCATTCAGCGTTGATCCCTACCCCAATCATTACGTTGAGCACCGAAATCTCGACTGAATTCACCGCAAAAACTGTTAAGCAAAAACTGGCCCAACCCGGAGCTTCCCTCCAGGCAAATTGTCCATTTCTTACAAAACGCAAATTCCCCAAACTCTTAATTGAATTTCCACATCAGATTTATTATCTGATCAACGGAAATTTAACAAAGACTCCAACCGATAACGCGTAACGCCTACGCTTCACACTTGACTTCACACCCAAGCACTAAACGCACCTCTTGCCATCACGCAATCGAACTGTCAGAGCAAAACTGAACCTCAATCAAAACGAAGTGAAAAAAATGTGCTGCTGTAGCTGTCGGTAATTTTATTGTTTCGGGGAAAAAAAAACTGAATTTCATGTCGGAAATTACTTCAAAACTACGATGTTGCTGATCTGCTGGTTTTCATCGCAATTGGATTACGGGGAGAGTATTCTACTGCTGATTCTAATTGCAAGATTTAATGTACTTTGTGTTTACTTCACAGGAGCTGCGACGTGGGATACTATTGCAACAACAAAAGGACTACTTCGGATTACTGTTCACTACCAATGCTATGGATTTGGATGCTATTACACGAAATTGGCCAATAAATTATCTGAATCTGATGTTAAATGGACAAACTGAATGAAACTGCTCTATCTACCAATTCTGAGGAACAAGAACCATGGATGGGATTGCGCAGGCTTGTTACCGTGAAAAAAATGTGAACTGGTGCCCGGATGATTGACACACAGACAGCGACACGAAAAAGGACTCAATACTGACGATGGAAGCGCAACTTAAAACGAAAACCTACATCTACTATGTACAACAAGCAAAAAGGACGACTGAAGCAAATCAACCGACACCAAACAAAATGATTTATATTACAAAAATGGATATGTACAACACTGGTGTCAACTAGAAACTACAACTAACCCTAGAAGTAAGTGCTAATATAGAATTAATGTAGGATAACTAACAACTAATATTCAAATTCATTCAGATTAGGTAGGTTTTATTTACTGCTTATGTGGTTCTCTTCTTCTCTTTGTTGCGTCGTCAGAATGCTCTAAGCTGTCGTTAATGGTCAGCTGAGATACTGTTGTTTCATTCATTACTGCATTATATCCGAGCCCATTCATAAAGTTCGTCACCAGTAGATATTCATTTTTTGTGGGACGGCTCAACTCTTT